GTTGGGGAGAAAAAATAATAATTAGAAAAAAATCCAAGCACTTACCAGATTTATGCTGCCAGTAGGAGACCCATTAAAAGATTCTGGGAGCAGTGAGGAAGGGGAAAGGAAAAAACAGGTTAGAAGATTTTCTCCAATGTAGGGCCACACATAAGAAATAAAAATGCAAAGATAAACCATTATGGAAAATAATGGACAACTGTGCCATTGGGCAAAATGTTGCACCCAATCTGTAAGTACTTCCAGTTTCCAATAAAGACGCCTAAAGGAAAATGTATGTAAGTTTATATAGCTACAGATATGAAATAAATACTCCAGAAAACATTCCTTTTTAAGCTTATATCACCACATGAAATTGCTTCATTAAGGAGTCAGTTTAATAGTTAAACAACTTCCATTAGATTTGTACTTCAGTTAACGAGTGATTTTAATTGCTTTAAAAAGCCACATCTCCTATGTACTTTCAATTTCTATTTCCAGATTAAGAATATAGTTACATATTAAAACAACCCAACATGAAGAACCTCAAATATTTTTGAATAAAAAATGAGAATGAAAGCACTTATTTTAGTGACACACTTGTTACCAAGACTTGACAAAAAACATACATGAGATTAATAAAGTTACTAGAAAAAACTATTTGACTCCCAAAACAACTTACAAAAAAGCACAAGGAGGAAACATTAATTTAAAAATCAGAGATAGCAGAGGAAATTTTTGATTTCTCAAAAGTAGCATGGATAATTTTCTTATTTTCATTTTAAAGCAGAAAAAAGAATGGTCCCAGGAAATCCCCCTTATAGAGCTCACCTCCTTCACCATCATCTGATCCTCGGAAACTAGGATCCTTCAGCATATCCAGCTCAGCTAACATACGCACATACAACACATTCTGTTTGAATGAAGGGTAGAATCTTTCATCTCGCAGCATCAATTCATACACCTTATTGAAATAAAAATGCCAAGCTTAGAAATACTTACTACATTTTTTAATTAATCAGACAAGCTTTCATAAATTCTACTTGACCAACATGTATCTATGCATTCTATTATGTGTTTCTGTGTTTCCTTTAAAACCCTAATGTGAGTTTGTGAAATTTCAATTCAGGTTTACTCTTAACGGAAAGGTTATGAGAACTAATTGTGCTAGAAGTATAATACAGTGTCAGAAAATACCTTTCTAACTAGTGGGACATGCACGAATAGGAAGAGAAGTAGCACATTAACTGTAAACGTTTCCTTCCTCTCCTCTTTACCCTCCCAATTCCACTACAAACATATTTGGTCATTACGCATTTCACAACAGGTTATCTCCGAGTCCTTCTTTGTTGATAAACTATAAACATAGACCTGCAAACCCTTAGGGGGAGACGCGAGAAGAGGGAAAGGGAGGGAAGACACCGCATACTACTTTAGTGAAAATTTCCAGTTCAGCCAATACAGTATAACCCTACCTCACAAAGATTTAACCACACCACTTCAAAAAGTTATCCATGTAGCCTATACAGTGACCATATATATACACATATACATGCATGTTTCTATATGTAGTGGGAATTAATTCATAATGTTTGAATATTCATGTCAACTCTAGAATATTTCAATGATGATTTTTTTTTTTTTCATGGAACACTTGTGCTGTCACCTGGTAAGACTGGAAAAAATTCCCATGCAGGTCTGAGGAAGTAAATTTCTTTTGTAAACACATGAGAAATTTATGCTCTTCTGCAGAAATCACACACAAGGCCCTTGTAACCTACTTTGGGCAATACAGATTTCACAAGGTGTTTTCATTAGTCTTAAATGTGGGCCTCAAATAGAGCAGAGTGATTCTAAATTCTACAGCTCATATCACTAATTTTTAGCATGAATGAGAACATTCAGTTAATGACCTAAAATAAAAACCTTTTTTTAAATATAGATATTAGACTTGAGTGATAAAGTCTATGTATTCAGGTAGTAAAAAGACTTTTATCTTCCGTACTTGCTGCTTCTGAATGCTACACTGTGCAGGCTTGCAGAAACAGTCAAATTAGTTTCTAGAAAGAGATATAGACTTTAACATGTTTACATGCTTACATCCACCTTTGAAAAAGAAAGCTAAAACCGGACCAAAATTGTACCACTTGGTTATTCTACACAGGCACTTTTCTTAAATTGGTGCATAAACACGAATAATAATCCCAGAATTCTAAATTGTGCTTCATAATTAATTTCATATAGGACACCTGCCCTTTCTGTCTATTGCTTTGAAAACCATAAGCTACAGATCACTAAGCAGAAGTTGGCAATTTAGAGTATGATTTTTATAGAATAGGAAAATGGTAAAACAGGTTTTAGGCTTCAGATAGTTGAGTTCCTTTCTCCTTTTTCAATGGCTGTAGTGACATTAAAATACTCTATAGCATTAACAATTCTTAGGAAATACAGGATGAATATAGTATACCTTTCTCTGAATGTCATCAAAGATTTCAGGTGTTGGATCCTCATGGTTCAGTGTTTCTGCCAGTTTTGCTACTAAGTTGTCATCAATATTAACTCTCGGAGATGCCTGTTACAGAGATCGAAATCGACTTTTGCAGCATAAAAATAAAAAGCTTCTGTTTTCACAAATGAAGTCCAATACAATTCTGCAATTCTCTAGGTAAACTGAATTATTTTTGATGAGTATCTCTAGAACCGTCTAGAACATACAACAGAGTCAGACTCCCTCCTCCCCCCTAAATTAAATTCAGAGTTTGTATTAAAACTTAGAAAAGTTTCAGGATTAAATACTAAGAATCACCTCAAAAACAATTTATACACATTACTTTGAAGCAATATCTAAACCAGATTTACTCAGTCTCAAAAACAGATTTTATTTATTTATGAATAGAAAGATCTAGATTCAGAAATTAAGAAAAAGCCAGTAAGAAAGTAAACGGATGAAGTTCTGAAGCATCTGAGGAAAGGCTAACAGTTTGTTAACTCTGCCAGTTTCTGGAGAGATTACCAGTAACTGTAATCATGGTAGCTTTTTGTGCAGATTCTATTACAGCTACCAGCATACTAACTGTATCAGCCATCAGATTCCCAGTCATCCCTTGGTATGACATATTTCAAATCACATCTTTTAGATAGGCCCAAGTTCACACACTTTCCCCATTTTCTGTAATAGAGACAGGGAATGAGCACTGAATCAGACCCAATAGCTCACTTGATACCATAGCAGAGAGGCTGAGCTCATCAGCTTTGGAAGAGTGTTAGGTGACTTCTGATATCAAACTGGTGAACATTCAGTCAGCTCAAAAACCCATCAGAGCAAGCTCTGCACAGTCCACCATGTCAACAGACTATTGAGGTGAAAAACCAAAGTGAAAGAAATGATGCAGAAAGAGAAGCATTACAAGGTATTTGAGGGATAATTTGTTGAGGGAAGCTTTTGAGTGAGTTGAGAGGTGATTTTTATGCATACACAAATTCAGAACAAAGATGCTTTGTTAACACAAGCTGACAAGTGTTTTCTTTCACAGAAGACTCCACTATTACAAGACTACTGGAAGTATTCAAGCTTAGCCTATTGAAAAATACCCAACAGTGATATCTGAGCAACTTACACAGGCATTTGTAGAGAGGCACAGGAAGTTATTTCATTTGAAAACCCGATCTTAATCCAAGTTTGTACAAATATTGGGTTGCTTTTGTTTTTTTAAAACATTTCTTCTTAAGTCAGGGGAGAAGGGCAGGGTAAAAGGAAAGGGAAAGGGCAGCATACACAAAGGGACAGAATTTCTTATTCTGTCTTCACATTTTCTCTATTTTTTCTCTATTCTAGAAAGTCAGCTTCTGAGAAACACATTCAGTGCACTTGACACCATAATCAGTGCCAGTATGAGCCTTTTTAAATGGAGAGGGGAACAAAAAAAAAAAGAGGAAGACATTTTCTTACTGCTTGACATAAGGAGAGAGAAGATACGCAAATAATAGCTTAAATGTCAACTTGTAAACAACTTGTGTTACATCTCATCCATTTCATATTAATGTAGCCATAACTACCAAAGAAGCACATGTACAAAGAGTAAATTCCAAACAATGCAGAAATAAGTTATTCCTACCTTCTCTGATAAATATTGCTCATAAACTCCAAATGCAGCTGCTCTTAATAGACCCTTGGTTTGATTAGTCTGATGTTTTCCATCTTTCTGCCGGCTTTGAAGTACCTCCAGCTGTTGCTGTGCCGTAACCCTGTATCCTTCAACTGTCATCCAGAAAAAAAGATGTGCTTGGCCACCAGTCTGCTGCATGTAATCTACAGAAAACAGTCACCACACAGCACAGTTATTGTTGTGCATTTTAGAATGAGAATTCTCTATGATGTTAACTACATATGGAACTCCAGGATCTGGTTATACGTCTGGAATACTTGTCATCTAGAGTCAAGAAATAAAAAGTACTAGATACATATTGATGATAATCAGTGAACAACACTGGGAGCAAAGTCTAGGAACTAAGCACTGAATTTTAAAATGCACATGTAAAAAGTGAATCCATCATTACTGTGTGGATATAACAGACTTGCACAGCATGATAAAAGTTGACAGGAAGTTCAAACTGGAATTCTAACAAATCACATGCATCTACTGCAATAAAAAGACTATCACCCCCAACACCACTGATCAATATTCTTTGTGATGACCATCAGCAGCCCAATTAATTCACAGTCAAGCATTAGAAAGTATTAAAAACGAATTACACTTCAATCCATCTATCAATTTCTTGATTATATGATAAACCTAAAATAGTACATAAATTAATTCTGTATTTTAGCTTCTCAAACAGACAACCTTCATTAGCCTTGTAATCCTCTTCAGACACCTACATTTAGCGATTTCAAGTATGCAGTCCTGTGAGTTAGCATATTCTTTATAAAGAAAAAAGATCAGATAAATTAACACTTACCCATAAAAAATTGTAGTGCAACATTGTCTACCAGAATATGGTCCAGAGGGACTGTGCAAAGTTTTCCAAAGTTTGCTGCCAGTTTCACAGTATCTATTTCCTGTAAGACACAGTTCAGCACATTCATAGGCCTTATTTTTTTAACATTAGCTTTTAAAACTTGTGCTTACCACAAAGCAGACGTAATAGAAAGTAATTTACATTATAAATAATAAAGCAGCCTCTCAAAGGTTAGTTATTTTCACAATCACTAATAAGTAAAGATCAAGATCATAAGGTCACATTCTCGTAACTATTTGCTTTCAACATGGATGGTATCTGCTAGCTGGGAAGCTGGCTTTTAACACTGCCATTATTGTAACACTATACAGGTCAAATTAACCACAAATCCCTCACCAACGGGTGACAGTAGCATGAATTAACAAGATGAACTAACTTCAGAATTTGATGGGGTGCAGGTCACTACAACTTAAATTCATTTCGGCCCAACCTTCTTCTGTTAATATGACATTTCTTGGTATTACAGTAATGCTTCTGGATCCAGCTGTAGAATACTTAAACATTTTAACATCTAATATGCACAAGATTACATTACCTTGGAGCCACATCTAGGTCCAATTAAGAGAGTCAAGAAACTAAGCAGAGCTTAGAGCTGACTCTGTCAGCGTTAAAATACAAAAATAAATATAAAACAAGGAAAGAGAACAACATTAGGTTCTCATATTTAACATCCAGTTTGCCTTAGGCTTTTCATTGAACTAAAGAGGTAAACATGTTTGACAAAAGGCAATCCGTGGAGCCTACAAGGCATCGCAAAATAATCAGCAAGTGTTACCGTTATCGACAAGAAAGAGATCTCTGCCAAAGACTAAGCTTGAGGCACACAAGGTATGCACTGGAGCAGTGAAGAAGAACTGATCTAGGTGTATAACTACAAAGATGCTTTGCATCTATGTAACATTTTGATTTAACTCTTGTGTTGAGAAGGTAAGAATAGTTTAAGATGTACTGACATACCTACACTGCTAAAGCCAGAATCCAGAAAGCTCTATGAACATGTGAACCTTTAGAAAATTTTTCCAGACTAAAACTGCAAATACAAGATTCACTTCAGTGGTATAATGTATCCCTGTAACTGCATAACTGAAGTTGTGCTTCAAAATGCAAGAATTAAAAAGCTAGACCGAACTAAGTCATTTGCACCTTCACTCTTTCAGAACTAAAATAATTCTAAAATACTTACTTTTCCTGACTGCAATCTCTGAATTCTTGAATCACATACTTTAATAACATACAATAAACTGTTTATTTGATTTTTTATAGTGTTGATATCTGAAAGCAAAACCAAACAAGATTAAGCAATGCAGATGAGTAAACTCTTGTTCTGAAATGCTCTACAAATATCATACAAAAAGAGACATACCACATACAAAACACATCAGCTTTGAATAGAAGAGGTTTTTTCAGTTTAAATACCTTACTGATGAAAGTGAACAAGAAGAAATACTTTTCCCTTTCCCTTTTTAGATCAACTGTTAACTGACTACCCATTAACACCTAAAGTATTACTGAAATTCAGAACTACCAGTCAGGTAAGTTTCAATTCAGTGGAAGTATACACATAACCAATTAGTCTATATTTAAAAAAAACCCACACAAACAAAAAACCAAACAAAACCAACCAAACCACACAAAACCACACAGATGGTAAAAAGGACCTGTTTTTCAACACATAAGAATTCAAGTTTCAACAATTTACATATTTTTTTTTAAATAACAAAATATTTTATACTATGCTGCATCAGAGTTTGTATTTTCTAAATTTTTTGAATGCTCTTCAGAGATCATGCTTGCGAATGCATTTCATATTTTGTACAATACAGTACTAACCATCTCCCGCTGTATCTAGAGATCGAAGGTATTGCAGTTCTTCACTTGCTTTATCTTTCACTGCTTCCAACTCTCCTATATTATCACTTAATTTAATAATATTCATAAAGGCCTCATAGTTACAGTTGGAATCACGAATCTGAAACAGAAAATTTTACAGTGTGAATAATGCAAAACAGGTAAAAGCAGCTGACGTGATTTTTCATTGAATGAATTCTTCTGACACAGCCGAAGTGGCATTTTGAAAACACTTTGATGCTTCTAAATCCTCCTCTTGATACTAAAATTATACATGGACCAAGAAAGAGGAAGCATACACACAGTCAAAACTTACTTTTGCACCATCATTTTCTGTTTTCAAGAAGTACAACAAAGACACATGGAAAGCGTGTCAACCTACTTAAGATCTTGTCCAAAACCCAATCCACCTTCTTCTGCTATTACCCATCTCCTTAGCTAATTAGGCAGACACTGCTGAGACCACCGAAAAGGCTTCAGCTTTGCCAAGGTCCCCTGCAAGTGTATATGCTCCCAAATGTAATGGCTTCTTAAGATACAGAATTCCACAAAGAATTAAAACATTCCACAATGTAACCATAACCTACTGGGGAGAAAAAAAGAAAGGAAATGACTGAATTAATACCCTCTCAGAAACCCTAATTCAGATACCCCTTGTAAATACTATTAAGCTACTTCAATACATACTATCTTCCCAGTATTGGCACAGGGTGAACCTGCTCTGGGGACTCAAAAGGAATCCGTGCAAGTGAAGGAAGCCTGCTGTGCTGCCGAGATCACTGGAAACTGTGCTGTGAACATAGCATGGAGATCAGGGGAAGGTTGGCAGCTTTACAGCGTGTGCACGCAGGTGCAGAGGGTTGAGTTCTAATGCTGTCTTTACTATCTGAAGCCAAAAAAGTCACTTCACCCACATCCTTTATAAATGCCCACTTTGATATGGAAATGCAATACTTGGGCTGTACTGCAGAAATGCATTGACATGAGCTGCATGAGCAGAGAGAAGGAAGAGTGGATATCTTTGACGAAAGTTAATGGAAAATCTTCCTAGAAATCTGCTTTTAAAAAAGTAATAGTACAAGCAATACTTGAACTTCAAACATTTGGTACAACTGTGAATTTCACAGTGAAGAAACAAGTTTGGATTAACTTCTAATTTTATATTGAAGCTTTATATTTTATTGCAAGAGAATTAGTATCGAACAAGGGTGTGCCTAGAAACATGGAATTAAACGTCTCATTTTCAAAAATAAAGTTTTTTCATTCAAATCTGATTTTATGTCAAAGGTTCCAAAAGGAACCAGAATTTGAGTCATCTCGGCTTTTGACCTTAATTTCTGCAAAAATCTTCATTTCCTAAGACTTGTATTAGATTTTTGACAGCATTTATTCTTCCTTATCTTTCCCCCAGCACATTTACTTCCTCATCTCAGAAAGCAATCATGAAAATTAATATTTGGGACATCACCACCATAACAGAAAGCTTTATAAAAACCTCAGAATTCTATCTTTGGATGCAGCCGGGGGCAGTACTCAGTAAATAAAGAATGAGGCCAAGTTACAAATAAAGAACATGCGTAGGAGGAAAGGGGAAACAAAATTTGAAAAGCTTGGTCCATGTGAGCAGCAGTATTTTTTCATATTAAAGCTAGATTTCTGTAAGAAAAGCAGCGTGCAAACTTCTACATAAAATGGAGGTGGCTGCAGTGAATGAAACATTGTACACGTACACTTGAATTCATTCCATATGCAAGAATTTTTACTGTGAACTCTGAGGCTGTTTTCAGCATAGTACTTCAATGCACACTAAGACTAAAATATATGGATAAATGTAGAGAGAACATGGGGAAAAGAAAAAAAAATTAAAACTTGACTCATGACCTACAAAGGATAATACACTATAGGAGTAAGTTTCAACTTGCTTTGCAAAAGATCAGGAACATTAATTCAAGTGTGAATATTCTATTTATGTTAATTTTCTGACATATTATTTCTTTAGAAGTTTTCACTTTGCAGTTTTTTTTTTCTCTAAGGTGTATCAGAGAGGTATTGAAGTAAAGACTTTGTTTCTTCCCATTCAGTTAAATTACTAAGAGTTACCACAAATACCCCTAATAAAACCCAC